TATATATATATATATATATATATATATATATATGTGTGTGTGTGTGTGTGTGTGTGTGTGTGTGTGTGTGTATTCAGTTGCATGGTTATTAGTTTGTAATCCCGGGTTTCACGCTTTTGCGATCATCAGACACACTAGTTTATTTTTTCAAAAGTGAATCTATTTATGCCTATTTTTGTTTGAAAATTTGTTTGAAAATTTGTGTATGGTGAAGGAGCGGATTTTCTTCTGTGTTAGTTTGGGAGGACACTCTCACGTATATAGTTACACATACATACAGGTGTATGCATTTTAGTTCATACAAACGCACCCATATATATAATCTGAGGTTAGGCACAGATACACATCCATGCGTCCGAGCATACCTATATACGCAATTGCCATTCTATTTTGGTGTCGAAACTCTAGTGTTACATATGTAGCAATGTTCTCTTAACAAAAAAAAAAAAAACAAACAAAAAACAGGTGAGATTGGCGTTGACGTTTTTCAGATCGGTCGTCCGCGCCGTCTACCATCACATAGGTTAAATTGGGTCCTGTCTTTGGATATGGTGATGGGGATGTTTGTAGTTTTAGCAACGCTATCTGATGGTTCTTTATTGACGATTGTGATTATGTTAATGGCAATTATAACTGTGATATTATAATTGATATGTTAATAATAATTGATGTGTTATTGGTTATGATAAACGGTAAAGTTAGCCTTAATGATGATGGAAACAATAATCATAATAAAGTCAATAAAAGCAAAAAATGACAGTGGTAATTATAATAGTTGTGGTAACCATGATAGTGATGATGATGGTAATAATAATAATAATAATAATAATAACAATGACAATGATAGAAGGTAGTACTAATGGTGGTAGAGATGGTTATGAAGTGATTTGTTCTTAAAGTAGTAACAACAGTACTAATAAATAAAGTAATAGTAGCAGTTATTTTCGATAGGTTCATAAAGTGATAACAACAATACTAAAAGGGTAAGTAGTAGTAGTCGTCACAAAATAATAATTTTGAAATGTTAATGGCTTCATATCTCGTGATGACTGTACTAATTGTTATGGCGGTTTTAGTGATCTACCCCCCACTTTTTTTGTAGGTTTATCCCGTTTCTGTTCTGTTTTGTTGTACGTATTATCTGTTTGGTATGAAGTGTGATAGTAGGTATTTATTTTCGTGTCTGCATTTTGAGATTATTTCCGATCTTTATAAATCTTAATGCAAACCGCTTTTAATAAACACAAATGATGAGCGGATCGAGCTCCGCACAAAACAGCGAACGTATCTTTCCTGTATCCTGTTGTACAATCTGGATTATCCAGCAAGTGTTATCTGGTACCTGAGTCATGCACAGTCTGGGTGCACGATTAAAAGTACCCTGTCATATTCGCAAGAACGTTTTGTACAATCCGGGTCTCGAGTCACAGATTGGTTCGTCATACATAGCCTCGCACGGACATTTAAATTTGTAGACAATAGAATTACTTTAAAGGTCCCGCTTTGGCATAGATGTTGTATAAACCATAAGCGGGTTCTATCGGCGTTGAAGAAAACAAACAAACAAATATGCCTGAGCAGACGTCTGCAACAGGGATTGGTTAGCTGCTCTAGTAGACGGGTATATTTCGGAGAACGAAAGTAGCAGAGCAATATTAAAAACTGACAATAAGTTATTGACAAAAAGATTTTTACACGTAACTGTATGTGTTCATTGAAATATGTCCTCTGGACACATGACAGCAGAATTCAATAATTCAAGTCGTAAACAAAGCGCAAATCTTAATTGCATATTGTCAATAAAAATAATTACCAGCAAGTCAATGTTTCACAAAGCCATTTGCACGAGAATCTTTACAAACAAAAGCTAATTCCATCCTCAATTTGGATATCCTATATCAACTAATTACTTAGTGTGCATAAGTTAACAATTTCCCACGTTGTACTGCTTTCAAAGCCAGGCGTAACCCTGTACAATTTCATCAAATGTTTCGAATAACCCCTGCTGTTCATACGATGTCACCCGGCTGCAAAATTCGCTTATGACAAAGGGGTCTTTTTTTAGTGGTTTCTTTTGTTAATAACTTCTCTTTACTTCTACTGGTTGACTAAAATTGGGTGCCCACACACAGCGAGTAGAATTTCGGCTGCAAAATCTGTGCTATATACACTAGCAGAGGAATATTGTAATCAATTCCAATTACTTTTTTCCCCGGAATATAAGACATTACAACATGACTGCATAAGGTCATCAAGTAAAGAGTGTAGATCTGGAATAAGTAAAAGAAAAAATCAAATGAAATTCGACTAAATCCATAAAAATCAAGTTACACGAAATCTGTGTACTAAACAACAAAATTATCAGTACCATTTGCCTTTATATATACAACAATAGTTGATAAAAATAAACACGTACCACCCTTAACTAAATGACTGGATTTCTCTGTATCCTTGGAAACAGGAAATTATGAATTGATATGTACGTTTAAAACCCAGTAAATGTAAAAATAAGTTATTCCAAAATTCGCTTGAAGATGAAACAGAACTAATGTTTTTAATTTAATTATATAATTAAATTTGAAGTTTTTAGCTTCAGTTTTTGAAACATGATTATTACTGTGTAGCGAAGAAACTATATATTAAATCAGTTATATATATATATATATATATATATATATATATATATATATATATATATATATATATATATATATATATATATAGTGGGAAGGTTTTATATGTGTCTAATTTGCTATCCCTATTTATATCCCTAATAGTGAAATTAAACTATTGGCCAAATTTGAGAAAACCTACGAAATAATAATAATAAAAAAAAAAAAGTACATCCGACAGCAATCAAGTGTGTATCCATTTTTCCCATCACGGAAACACACTATTCAATCAAAGTGTGTGTCTACCAGTTCTCGCATGGAGCCAGCTTAACAGTGCAAACTTGGAATTTTCTATTTAGGGAAACACATTTTTCTCGATAGGACTTTTTGCTGCAGTTTCGTTTTCGAAACGTAAAGAACAATAATTTTTTGAAACGATTTTTTCCGACGTTATTTCTGATGACTGAAAAGATCATTTTCAGTGGATACAAATAATAATAATGTGTTCACATAATAATAACAATGGGTACACTTAATAATAATAATTATAATTATAATGCGTACACATAATAATAATGATGACAATATTAATGCGTACACATAATAATAATAATGCGTACACATAATAAAATAATAATAATAATATGTACGCATAATACTAATAATTATAATAATAATAATAATAATAATGCGTACACGTAATAATAATAATAATGATAATAATAATAATTATAATAATAATAATGCGTACACATAATAATAATAATGCGTACACATGATAATGTATGCATAATAATAATTATAATAATAAAAATAATGCGTACACATAATAATAATAATAATTGTAATAATAATGCGTACACATCATAATAATAATAATAATGTGTACACATGATAATAATAATAATAATGCGTACACATAATTATAATAATGCGTACACATAATAATAATAATAATGTACGCATAATAATAATAATAATTATAATAATAATAATCGTGCGTATACATAATAATTATACTACTACTACTAATAATAATAATAATAATAATAAAAAATAATAATAATAATAATAATAATTATAATAATAATGCGTACAGATAATAATAATAATAATAATGTGTACGCATAATAATAATAATAATAATAATAATAATAATAATAATGTCTATATTTCTGAGATGAGTTATTATTTAAACTATTTACATTATTCGGACTATTCTCATCATTTTTGTTGCCATATTTATCACAACGTTTCGGCCGTTGTACGTTGCGGTCTTCTTCAGCTGGTTGTAATGTCGAACTGAGTCCTTTATTTCACTCGCAGTTCTAGTTCCACGTACCGTGCTTTAATGGATGTCAGTTAAGGCCACGGAGAACTTGAAGAGGGGATTTAACAGGAGATAACTGATAACTGACATCCATAGATATGGCACGTGGAACTAGAACAGTCTACCCCAGCCAGCGAAATAAAGGGTTCAGTTCGACATTCCAACCACCTGAAGAAGGCCGGAGCGTACAACGGCTGAAATGTTGTGACAAATATGGCGACAAAGATAAGGACAATAGTCTGAATAATGTAAATAGTGTGAATAATAATAATAATAATAATAATAATAATGGGTACATATAATATTAATAATAATGGGCACAAATAATAATAATAATTATTATTATTATAGGTATAGATAATAATTGCTGTCGTAGTTTCTACGAGTATATAGAAAATACGACTGTAATAGATTCATCCACATGTTAAAGAATGATAAAGATAATGGAAGCATTTATAATCTACCACTCGTCCCTTCAGCCCCGCAACCTCCGGCGTCTTCCTCTTTGGGTTGAGGCGCCCAATCGGTCTGAACCGAACTCAGGGGTAGCTGGCCGCACGCTCCCTGAGTACCCATAGATTGTTCGACCGGTCACTGGCCAAGTTCCGCCTGCTGCCCACGTTGTGTTAGTTTTTAGATCCAGTAAGCGGGGTGTTGTCCATACGTTCACGGTCGATTGGAGATGTAGGCACGGCTGTGAGGGTGGGCGACAGGAAAATTAGAATGTGGCAAACAAGAAAATAATATCTGCAAAAGCCGGACAACAATGGGTAAAATATTGATGACTTTTATATAAGAAAACAACAACAGTAGAAAGAGTTTACAGAAAGGATAGAAAAGCAATTAACATAAGAACAGAGAACCACTCCTCTACCAATTATACCAACAGAGAGAGGTGTGTGTGTGTGATTAACTCGTTCTAAATCAACTTGGGAGGATATGTGACTCGTAATTCCAGGCCTACGTGGAAGTGTAGCTTTTCAGTTGGTTGTCGTAAGTGACAAACGTTAAGTTTCAGCGACTTTTCAATGCGACTGTTACAATGATGATGATATTTCATGAAGTCCTTATCTCTGACTCGCCACTGGACCGACTCATTGCAACCACAGTCTCTCTCTCTCTCAACGTCACTCTCGTCTAACGCCCAAGTCTCTCCAACTCAGCAAAACTCGCGTTTATATAGTAAACCGAAGGTTATAAGCCAGGTTGTTCACGCCCTTAACACGAGTGTCACAATAAGCAAAGTTTTAATTCAGATCTATTTCAAATCTCTTAGTGGATAAAATTAATTAGTTCAATGTTCCTTTCAATTGTCTTTTCGATGACCAAATTCAGCGGATACAACTTATATTTAGATCAAACTCCGCTAGCGGTAAACATACACTGATCTTACCTCCCTGGTTCAATTTACTTCAATATGTTTTTATCAAAAATATTATTTTCGTCTATTTTTTTTTTAATGACCCAAATTAAACATCGCCTTCTGCCCTTTTGCATTTGTTTATAAACAAGTCCTCGCCAACCTGATTTGAAATTTATTCTTTATCCATCAGCCGTCTCAGGTTTCATATATCATTGTTCTAGATTCTTTCCTATTAATAGCGCTGACACAGTTTGTAACTTTCGCGGAAGATCGTGTTTTCCATCTTCAATCAATAAACGTTATATTTGCGTGTGTGCATTCATGTGCGTCAACCCCTCTCTGTTACAATAATAAAAATAGAAAAAGCCAACACTCAATAAGATCACGGCCACAACGTGCTGACCGCGTTTGGAAAATAAAAAATATCATTCTAATAACTATACATGAAGATATATAAAAATGTATATATTCAGTTAAAAATACAAATAAACACATCCTTGATAAAGGTTGGGCACCTCGGCGTGGTGTAATGGTTAGCAAGCTTGCCTCATTAGGATAATCAAAACTGAGTAGTGAGTTCGATTCTCACTGGATGCTCCATCCTTCCGGCCTTGTGCCACACCTAAGCAGCGCTTAGAAAATCACTATCCTTCATAAAGGCAAAAAGAATAACCGAAAGTGCTTGAATATATATATAACATTTACACAATTTTAAAAAAATTACAGGAAAGAAAACACATGAAGACAAGAAAAATTGAATGAAAGCTAAATCGCAGTCATCTTCAGCGAAACATTATTTACGTAACTAGTCGTAACTAATTACTCTGTCATGGTAACCGAGGCATAGAGAACTAGTTATTATTGTTTAGGTAGGTGTCTGTCTTTTGTTCTTTTTTATTTAGTTTCTATGTTTTTTTCCATTTTTTTTATATCGCTTCCTTTTGTTGTATTTCAGTTTATTCTTTGTTATTTTTATCTAGTCATTAAGTTTCCTTTTCATCACCTGGTAGGCTTTCTGTTCGTTGTACCAGCACTTTGTATTTTTGTGACACACACTCACACGCGTACGGGAGCGCAAACACAGACACAGACACACACACACACACACACACACACACACACACACACAGTGGTCAGTGGTCAATATATATATATATATATATATATATATATATATATATATGTATATTTCCAAGAAGATAAAATCTAAGCAGAGCTCTATGTCAAAGTGAGAGCAAGAATATAATATCAAAGGCTCAAACACTAATATTTCATGGTTATAATTTATTAAACTGGAATTGTAAACATGACCCAATTCATCAGACCTATATATATATATATATGTGTGTGTGTGTGTGTGCCGATGCACTAGCGCAACGATTATCGGCCAGCTATCTGAACAACAGCAGTACGCACCAGATTGCTTCCCCTTAGAAATCAGTCAGTCTAGAAGAAGAACAACTCTGAATTCATTACCGTGAAGAAAGCAGTAGAAAACACACAATAAAGAAAATAAAATGTGGAGAGCCATAACCGTAACTTTTAATATATATATATATATATATATATATATATATATGATATATATATATAAATATATATTTAAATATGATGTATATATATAAATATATATTTAAATATGATATATATATGTATATATATAAATATATATTTAAATATATATATATATATATATATATATATATAATATTTACATATTTGCGCACGCTCTATCTCTGATATTGAGCATTTTATACTATATATATATATATATATATATATATATATATATATAGTTTTGCACATTTTTACATATGTGCACATCTTGTGTCACAAAGGTTTTTCAAAGGTTTGGTTACGTGTTGTCTTCAGGACTAACTCGATTTTCGATCGTTTGTCAAAAATGGTTTGTCCTAGAAAGAAATGAGTATACAACAGAGCTCAAAGGAAATAATAATAATAATAATAATAATAACGAAATTAACCAGTGAGTGTATAAATTTTCCTTGAATGTTAGATCTTTCCGCTTAATCTACCTTGTTGACTAATGGCAATTTTTGGTCTGGCGGTTTTTTAAATTTTAAGTAAAGTCATCTCTAAGAAAATTGGACGTCATGCTCTATGGGTTAAATAGTTTCATTATCTTTAATTAGTATGAAGTAATTAAACGAAAGAAGGTATGGAAATTACTAATTATTAAATCCAGACGCTTGTCTCGACCTTATGGTCTACTGAGTGCGTGTGTACTTAATATATATATATATATATATATATATATATATATATATATATATATATATATATCTGGTCTGACGCTTGCGTTTAAGCATGAAATATAGTCTCGCCGCTGAGTGTTGATTTCAATGATACTACCCTAAGCTATCGGCGGAGGAAAGAAAATTTTAACCTATTATATATATATATATATATATATATATATGATATGTTAGAATCGATAGCTTAGGGTAGGATCTCTGACATGCCAAATCGTCGGTCGGGTTACCATCCCGGCTTGAAGTAATTGGATGTCTAGCCACACTGATGAGCTGTGATACATCGAATCAGGCTTGTATGTCGATGATTCTCACTCACTCCACTCTCTCTCTCTCTCTCTCTCTATATATATATATATATATATATATATATATATATATATGGGAATATTGAGAGAGGGGGGAGTGCATATATTTTAAAAAGTTCACTGGTATTTCTCAACTATAGGCCCGTGGGACAGAATTTGAAAACCAGGACACAAAGTGTAATGTTAGTTCTCAGTTATACGAAGACGTTGAAGAGGCTGAAAATTAAATAAAAAAACAAAACTGACGTGTCTTCTAGGCCAAATGCAACGGAAATTAAAACTTAGGTTAAAAAGATTCTCTTAATGGCTTCCTAATTACAAGTAAAAAAAAAAAAATTAAAATCCTTTCCCATAGAGGAATAGCTGTCACGCCTGACAAGTTTCCGTTTTTTCCCCCGAGAAGTGAATGTAGCATGTTATTTTCTAAGATTGCTCCGTTCACATGCACATAAACAGTTTTTTGTTATGTCACAAGAGAAAATGCATTGAATACGGTCCTGTCTCGTGGTTTGGGTAGTTGCATATTTTCCGATAACCCCACTGGTTGATGTTTGATGCACGGTAAAATTCCGAAGAGTCGAATGCTAATTTTCAAGATTGGCGTACCTTTCTTGCTTGTTAGTTGATGCAAAACTACCATTTCCCCTTCATATATCCCTATATTATTTCTACAGAAGGATACTAGAAATACTTTGGGCTGTACACGTGAGAATTTTTTTATGGAAAATAATGAGGAAAGAGCGCCTGGAAAATTTAGCACTCACAAGATATATTGACGGCAAGCGGGGACAGATGGAAACGGCGCATCACTTAACTAGTTTGTGTAAATGGACAGCAGAACAGGGATTAGGAGGTAGTAAAAAGATAAAATTTACTAAGAGCTACAAAAAACTAGAGATTGTCGAGAGCCTTGATCACGAACCTCTTGAAGGGGCACGCATATATAGAATTGTAAGACAACCTTGTAACTTTACTATCTTAAATTTAAAAATAACAATAAACTAGCAAAAACTGTATGTGGGAATAGCTCGATCAGTTTACAAATTTGTATATGTTGATGTTCTTCGCTGTATATTTCATGGAAAACCGTCCAGCGGTTAGTATTTTGCTCTTGATTACTACTTGGATGTGACGTGGCATCCTGTTAGGACGGATAAAAAAAATATATTCCAAGGGAAATAACTCTTTCCTGTTTCAAACCGAGTACCTCCCTTTTGCCCCTGTCCAAACCACGCGAGTCACGTGATCAACGCGACTTTGAGCGGCAGGACGGCAAAAAAGGGAGCAGATTGGAACATGGCTGCCAGACAATAAGGACACTATATATTCTCCTGTCCCAACGGTTGTGACACACAACCCAGTAACTTGGGACCGTGATTTGTACATACCTAAATATATGTTGTAATGTTCTCTTGTGAATAAATGGTAACTTCAAGCCAACCGTGAGTAGCAAATTACTCTTTTCTTATCGCATCACACGTTTCTCCATGTGCCCCCCCTACATATATTCATTCACCGACCGTGAATCAAAACTGCATTCAAGGCATTTCATTTGATAGTTATGAGACAGCAACCACACTCGCGTTCATAACACATCCCGAGAATCAAGTTGTCAAGAAGTCTTAAGATTTCTTTTATCCAGCTTTCTTTAATAGATTTTCTTTTAATTTAACTTTTGACAATTTCCCATTACATCTGACTTTAGGTCCGAGTTGTTCTTCTGCCAGCCCTGTCTTGTCACGTTGATCCTGTTGAAAAAATTCTGACCGACCTTTGACCGGTAGCAAGGAATACTATTATGCATAAATATTGTGCACTAAAGAATGTGCATATGCAGTTCCAGGTTCTCTTTCAGCATTTTCACACAAATTGCAATATTCATCGTTGTTCGAAGTAGAGTTCAGATCTTCCAGATTTGGACATGATAATACAAATGATCTTTCATCAAATCTTTTACCAAATGTCTTCTAATATTTCTTTTACACATAACGTTGCAACGCGAATTAATCTGAAAACATGATTTTGTTCCACGCTTCAGCTATCCAGGTTTCATGTCGCTTAGCAAATGACAGAAACTTGAATCTCATAGCCGCAGTTAGCAGTCAATTACGATCCGGTTTGAAGGATTTCAAAGCCAGCCGAGATCTTTGCTGTTCCCCAAACAGTCCATTTGCGGCACGTTGAGCCTATTTTAAAGTTCTGAACAGGCTTTTTAACACCGACATAGAG